CGGTTTGGGCCGTCACGGGCCGGTTCGGGCTGGTTCCGGGCCCAAAACCGGCCCGTGGCCGTGTCTATACACAACCAATACTAGGGTTGAGCATGGGTCGGTTTATGGGCCAACCGACCCAATTAATTTCGACCCGCTTTTTTCGGTTAATAATTTTTTTGGCTGATAATTTTATTGTCGGACAGGTAATTTTAATAGACCCATAAATATATATATATATATATATATATATATATATATATATATATATGTGTGTGTGTGTGTGTGTGTGTGTTTCGATCGGCAATTTTCAATTTACTTCAAAGTCGGTTCATCCGGCAATATCGGTCAACCGGCATTTTTAAATTTTAACTGACCCATATACTTGTTTGTAAATTTCTAATTGTTCATATTTAAAACCAATGATTAGCAACGAGTTGGCCATGATTAGCACTTGTTTTGAGATCATTTTCTTATTCTACAATTAGTTAAGATGGATTCAAGCCCCACTCTCGATTCAAAATAATTATATTTTAATTTTCATTTAGTTCACTTAATTTTGATATGGGCTCGAGTAGCGTATTTTTTAGTATTGATTTGAATTATTGATCTTGCTCGTACAATGGTAGAACTAGGAGAAATAAAGTTTATTATTTGATTTACTTTATTTTAACTTTGTTACTAATGTTGTCTGTTATTAATGCTACTATTGCGAGGGTATTTTCTGTTGCGAGTAGATTGCACAGTCGGATAAATAATTTAATAGTCGTGAGTTGTTTCTCAAAATAAATTTTTTATTTGGATAAAACAAATTGTGAAATAGCATTTAAATAAATTAATAATTTTTGTTTAGATTAATATATAAACAGCCATTATTGACAAGGCAATAATGGTGATGTATAAGTAGTAGCAACCGAGCAGGTGGCAGCTTACATCACATCTTATGCTATTGAGTTTTAAACATTAATGTGAAAATGATACCTATTTCTTGCTCTTGTTGTCACATTTTGACAAACATATAAAAATTTGGTACTTTATTTATTGCTAGTGGATATAAATATAATGCCATTGGTTAAATTAGTACTATTGGATAATATTACTACAGGATAACTGATCGAGCTCCAGCTAGAGTTCGAGTCTGCATTAGCTTGATTTTTTTATGCATAATTTATCATCTTTTGTACTCATTGAGCTCTAGTTAGAGTATAACTTCATAATTTACCAAACAAAAATGCGGGTTCAAATTCCATCCATTATGTTAATAAATTGAGTTCAAAAAACAAACTTTTAACGAATAATCTGGAATCAATTATCGAACAGTTTTGCTTGATTTTAAATTCAGTTTTCGAATCAACTGAAAGATACTGTTTGTAAAGGTAAAAATAAAACTTCTCGGTATTGTTTATATAGTTTATAGATATCAAATAAAACTTCTCTATACTTGATTCGACATTGTGCAATAAAAACTCGTTTCAACTCAACTTAATTAACATGAAGACTAATGTTTGAACAAATATATGTTCGATAAGTTATGCAACTCGTCTAGAGCATGAACTCGATTTTTGATTAATAAATATATACATACGTACCAGATTACTCGAGCTCGATTCGTATTCGACTCAGTTATAGCTCGTTCGAGCTTAACTCAATTGCTTATCAAATGAAATTCAGAAAGAAAAAAAAAATAATAAAAAAATAAATAAACTCAACTTACATAGAGAAAACAACAAATTTAATTTGAATATTTCTTAAAGTTCTCATACTTTTTGACCATCTATATACATTGACAAAGGGACAAAGTATTGAATTAAATGAATCATAAAAAATATCCTCATATACAAATAAAGTAACTATATATTATCCTCTAAAATAATATTAACAAACCCCAATCCAAGAATAGCAAAAATATTATCATTCAACCAATCATCCACAAGAAGAAAACTAGAACCTTCCTGATTGGCATTTGACCGGGTCAAACGTCCCCAAAACTCGTTCACCGTACCGAGTCGACTCACTCGCCTTCCCCCAACTCAGCAATTTCGGCCCACTTTTGTACACCTTCAACATTCCAATTTTGCCCTTGAGTTCCTCCACTAAACCCCACATCATCTCAACCGAGGGCTTATTCACCACGTACAAAACCGTCAATCTTTCTCGACAGTCTTGTAATCTCTTTAAAGCACAAACGAGTTCGACCGAGTCGCCGAAACTCAGGTAACTCAGTCGTTCGTTGAACTCACTGAGTCGGACCAAGATCTCATTCACCGACGAGAGGTAGTCGCCGGAGAGTAACCCGACGATCTCGTTCACCAGCGAATCGCCGTCGATTAATTGGGGCCCACGGCAGATTTCTTCGACGAGTACGACGAGGGAATCGAGGTCTTTGACCAGGTCAACGTTCAAGAAGGAGGAGATTCTTCGTTCTTGATTCTCTTTGACGGCGGCGGCGCAGGAGGAGGAGGAGCAGAGGAAGTATCCGAGAACCCTGGAGGTGGAGAGGAGGGTCTCGAGGTAGCGGGCGTCCACCGCACCCAGGAGGAGAGCACCCACGTGGCAGCGGTGGCGCCGTCGCGGAAGTCGGACAGCTTCAGGTGGTTGTGGCCGCCGCCGGCGGGGAAGATGGAGAGCTGGTCCTGGAGGATGAAGGGGCCGCGGCGGATGATGTGGTGGACGACGAGGAGGCACTTGAGGGCGACGACGCAGTTTCCGGTGCGGCGGAGGCGGTCCATGAGGGCGGTGATGATGGGGGAGGCGGTGGAGCGGGAGGTCTCGCCGAGGAGGAGGACGGCGGTGAGGGCGGCGTCCTCCGGCGGGGCGGCGGGGGTGTGGGTGGTGGCGCGTAGGACGGCGAGCCGGATGGATAGCGCGTTAGGGTTTGATGAGAGTAAGGCGGCTTTTGATATGGAGGCTTTGTCTTTGATCAGACCTAAAAAATCTCTCAGAATTTTTCCCATAATTGATTTTTTTGAATTTTCAGACTTCAGAAAGAAATTGAAATTAGTGGGGAAGATGATACCTTCTCGTAAATATGTGTTTATATATAAATTAATATATAATACATAATTTAATATGTAATTAATTAGCTGCTCAATTTGAAAAGTCAGAGGTTAATGATGTACACTACATTGTTGGAAAAATATAATGGGTAAATAGCACTTAACTCCCTGTGGTTTGTGCTTTGTGCAGATGGCCGCCTCGTATTTTCAATATAAGCACATAACATCTATGTAGTTTGAACTTTATGCGCATAATTTGCTATATTTTTCATATAAGCTGACGCAGAATGGAAGCACAAAAATGAATTGATCTCTACGAATTAATTCTATAGAACACGATAACTTTGTAATCCACCAGATAATTGAAAGAAAACTCAGAAATTTTATTGATAATTAAAGATGCCGAAAAATAAACCCTAGAGCAACTATTTATACTAAGGAAAAACGAAAAACCTTAGTCAAACTAGGAAAGCGAGAAAATTATCAAAATAAAGGCAAAATAACGAAATAACTCTTAAACCTAGTAGAATATCGAAAATTGGAAACATCCCAACTTACGGATTTCAAATCCGAATTTTCTAGAATTAATTATGAATTATTTAAAAATTTCCTAAAATAACAAAAACGTCGTTTTAAAGGCCTAAACGACCTCGAAACGCCAAAATCCATCGCACATCACGGCGTGGCAGTGAGTTTAACTCCCCTTGTCGTTCCGGTTCGGAAAAACTTGGCCCCACACGATTCCGGCTCCACCACCTCTACATCATAAGCACATAACCTTCTTATTTTATTTTACTTGGTAAATAATCATGGTTATTAGGAAGATTGAATTTTTGAAAGTACAAGGGGATTATGTGCATATATTAAAGAAATACAAAGGGGTTATATGTTATATTGAAAATACAAGGGGTTCTTGTGCACAAAGTTTAAACTATAGGAGGAGTAAGTGTTATTTATCCAAATATAATTAAGTGTTTGGTTTACGATGGCTATATGAGCTTTGACCCATAATTGTTAAAATTTTAGAAGGGATTTTTAGTATGGGTTTATTATAATTAGTACCTCGATCCATGATTATTTTATTTGACATAAATTCCCCTACGATTCAACTTTTTTTAGCACCGAATTGCCTCTCGACATGGGTACTAATTGCTATAACAAATTAATTCACAAGTGGTTTTGTTAATAAAATAACCTGAGGTAGTGTTTAGCAATTGGATAAAATAAAAGGGTACTAATTGATATAAACTCTTGACTTTATTAGGAAAAATGAGGGAAAAAAATCCCACGCTCTGTTGTAGCACAGACACGGAAACTTGAACATGGACATGGACGCGGACAAGGCGATATGCATTTCCAGAAAAACAGGATATGGGAACTCAAAATATAGGGGCATATTTGTAAATTACAAAAAAATATAGAGGTATATTTATAAAATATAAAAGTATTGTAAGAAAATAATAAAATCATAGCATCATGCCCTATTTCTCCATAAAATAACTTTATGAGATAGGAAGTTCAGACAAACAATAACCGACATCGCTCGCCTGCTTGTCGCCTCTGTCGCTCGTCCTAGTTTCAATAGGTTGTGTTCGTTTTTTTAGAGATCTGTTTAGAATATTCATTTTTTGAGAAAGGAGTTACAAGGAAATATAAAGAAAAGGAAAGAATGAACGAACGAATTAGGCAGGATTTCTTCTTCTTTTTTTTTTGAAAAAAATCATGTTTCACTTAAACACCATGTCGAGCCCTTTATTTGTCCAAAATTGCAGCGAACAGCTAGACAGTTATGGTAAATTACGTACACGGCCCGACACAGGTGTTCGAGTGTAAAAAATGTGGACTCCTCATTTTCTAACAATATTACACTATATATTACTTTGAGTGTAAATAGCACTTAACCCCCTTATGGTTTGGAAATTTTGCGCATGACCCCTTATGGTAAGAATTTAGGTACATAACCCCCTTGTGGTTTTGACATTTTGCACATGACCCCGTTATGGTATGAAATTAGGCACATAAACCTCTCGCGGTTTTGAAATTTTTGCACATGACTCCCTTATGCTATGAAATTAACACATAACCACTTGAATAGAAAACTGGAAAAGACTAAATTACCCCTATCAAGTCAAAAGTTCTTGTTTCAATTTAAAAATATTTATTCTACAAAATAAAAAACTTAATGTATTTTTTCGTAAAATGAGAAATATAATATATTATTGTGTTTTTTCTATTTTACCACACATATATTTTTATAAAAATTTAATATTCATTTCAACTTTAGAGAAATGTTTTTTTTAGGTTTTTCCAAAAGAATAAAAAAAATAAAGACTTTGTTTCTTAAAAAAAATTAAAGTTCCATAACAGCTATAATATAATAAATTATATAGAAAATAGTAATATAATAATCATAATTAATGATAATGTTAAAGATTTTCAAATTGATTTTTAAAATCGAATAAATTGTCAATAGTACAATAATTAGTACTTTATTACCTTTGTGCTG